CCTAAACCCTGAAACTCCTAAACCCCAGGGCACGAGCAAGTTGTCATCGGCGCGGAAGTTTTCAGAGAAGTCGCTCTTTGTCGACGTCCCTTCGACCGAGGCGACGGGTTTAAGCCTTATGATTTCGGGTTTGGGGTTTCAGGGTTTAGGGTTTAGGGTTTAGGGTTTAGGGTTTAGGGTTTATGGTTTCGGGTTTGGGGTTTTAGGGTTTAGGGTTAATGTGGGGGCTTTATTAATTAGTGTAGGGTTTTGGGCTCCTTTGTAGTATTATTACAATAAGTATAATTAGGAACCCTAACAGTAATATTGGTAATTGTTTAGGCTTCTATATTAGCCCTGTTCCAGACGACGTAGGAAGGAGGTTCCAGGGTTTCGTTAGGGTCCGGAGTCTGTTTGAGAGGTCAGGGGATATAACAAAGAGGCATTATAGGGATACGGGTACTGAGTATCTTCGGTTGCGGTTGTTCTACCTATAACCTTTACACACATGTTAGTCAATGCTAGTTACAAAGCCTGCTAATCCCTTATATAAGACCGTCCTGTGGGGGGCAGGGTGTTGGTTTGAAGGACAGGCTTTTGATTCTGCAGTGTATGCTGGGGGGGTTGGGGTCTCTATATGTTTTGTTAATTATGCCGTTTCTGTTCCAACCCTAAACCCTAAACCCTAAGCCTACTTTCCAAAACGGCTTCGCTTGCCGGGATGATCTGCGGCCGCTCTGCTGCACTGCATGTTCGCTGCCATCGGGGCTTTAGGGTTTAGGGTTGAGGGTTTAGGGTTTAGGGTTTAGGATTTAGTGGCTTGTGCTTCAGGGTCCACAGCTTCCGTGTTGAGGATTTAAATAATAAAGGTCAGGGGTGTCAGGCTCAGGGTCTAGGGCTGGGGGCTAGGGGAAACGTCTTGGGGCTTGTGAGGTCCTATTGAACTACTTTAGTCCATGAACGGTTTGACTTCGGGGCTCTGCCATGTGCAGGCCGTAATGGCACGGAAATTCGAAGAAGAAGAAGAAGCTGCCAACCGAATGTCTTCACCACTTGCTGGCCCTTTGTGCCATCAAGCCTTTCCAAATGTGAGCATGCAAGGCAGGCTCGCTTTTTCGACGGGGCGCATGCTTCCACATATCTGAACACATCGAACACTTTGGGACGACTGTGCCACAGCCCTCTCGTTCTCAGTAGTGGCAGGTGTACCCGTTGATGCTCAACCAACTACACTGCCTGCCACAATTGCAGCCCCCTTGGTTGTAGCACCAAGCAGCTCCTCCACACCAAAGGTGGCAAGATCCCATTGTGAACCCCTTGCTCTTCCAGTTGAAACGACAGCTGGGGCTTGAGTCGCCGGAGGCCTCAACGGTGTGGTTCTCATCAATCTCGTTCCGTTGCTCTGCAAACAAGCTGCCCAGCTTCTCATGCTGCTCCACCTGCAGCCTGTTCAGCTGTAGTAGGGACAGTCCCTCAGGGTCGCAGCCGTGGCAGTCTTCATTTACCACAAGTACGTCTTCCGTGACACCGGACGCCTGCGCGACCACAACACAGATCATGGCTGCAAGCATGGACCTCATGGCTGCAGAATATGTAGAGTCGCTTGTGGGGCTTCAGCGATCTAGACCGTGACGGCTCGAGCCGAGAAGGCCGCAGCGAATCGTCTTCGGTAAGTCCATGCGTGTTCAGCTCCACCAGTCCCGAAAAATCCAAAATTCTCCGAAAGCCGCGAAGCGGTTGAAGCCACCTCACCGACTGCGAAACTCCCGGGAACCCTCGAAGCAGGAACCATCCAGCACATATAAGGCGCTTTCAAGGTCCGGCGAATTCTCAGACTGATTGCAGCAACAAGTGGCGCTCCGCTGATACTTGGACTCTCCGACTCTCCTCTCCAAAAACTGGTTACAGTAACCACACCGACGACGACTGTCACCAATGCCACCACTACAACCACCATCAAGAAAACCACCAGCATCACCACCTCCCACAACTACAACCTTCACCACCCAACAGACTAGCAACAGCAACGAGTGAGGGCGGCGTTGCTGGTCTTTCTGCGGGCCGGCGGATGGTAAGTATGATGCTCACTCAGAACGGTTCGTCGCATTCCCATGACTGCTCGTGGCAACAACAGACCCTAAACCCTAAACCCCTAAACCTTAAACCCTAGACCCCTAAAACCCTAAACCCTTATGAGCCCTATGTAAGACCTCAATCCTGAAGCCTCAAACCCCAGACCCAAAGCATCCCTGAGCCCGTGATCCGACACCCAAAACCCCCAAACTCCAGAAGCCTAAACCCTAAACCCTAAAAATCTACAACCCCTGAGGCAAGGCCGGGACCGAAGGTAGCATAGACCACAATGCCGACCCCTCAAGCACAAAGAGGCAGAGTTAAGGTCTAATGCAGGGGGCCTAAAATAACTACCTACACTTAGGGTTTGGGGATTTAGGGTTTAGGGTTTGGGATTTAGGGTTTAGGGTTTAGGGTTACCTAAAACCTGCCTTACCCATAACAAAGACTATAAACCATAATTCCCATAGTTTACGGTCCTCAAGGTCATGCAGGATTTATATCATCAACAGTATGTTGGGGGTTCCTTTATACAAAGATAGGTATAATATACCCCAAAATCCTATAGCCCCCTGTTAGAACAAGAAGTAATATCTCCGGGCCGTACAACAGCACATAGTCAATGCTGATGAACGTTGAATGGATGACAACCGAACACGGTCAAATATATGTGCACATGCATACAACAGTACGCACATACATGCATGCATGCATGCATACATGCACACATAAATGCATAGGTTCCTGTGCTTTCAGCACTTTCGTTTACCGCTCATTGACCCTCACTTATGAAGAGCAACGAGGGTCGTGTTGACGGTGTTGTCAGGCTGCGATTTGCAGTGCAAACCCTAACCACTAAACCTTCAAACCCACCAACCCTAAGCCCCTAAACCCTCCACCTTCAAACCCCTAAATCATAAACGAACCCTAAACCTCTGACCTCCCGGAAGCTCGAAAACTTTGTGGCGTATTGGGCTTGGAGGTTAAGGCTTCGGGCTTGTCGGGCGTACAGCAGGGATTCTCAGACTTTTGAGTTTGAGTTTAGGCTTTCAGGCTCATGGGATTTAGGGTTTAGGGCGTTGGGGTTTAGGGTTTAAGGTCTATAGGGTTTAGGGTTGAGGGTTTAGGGTTGAGGATTTAGGGTTTGGGGCTTGGGGTTTAGAGTTCAGGGCTGATGGCGTTCTGGCTTCTAAGTTTGCTTCCGAAACGGAGGGCTGTGCACTGCATGCGTGGCCTTCGGCAGAACCGGTCGGTCGCCGACTCTTCTAGACCCCTTGACTCTCTTCTGCAGTAACCTGGCCCACAAAATTGCTAAATTTCCAAAGTAACTAAACCAAAGATGTAAAGCCAAAAGATGTAAAGCCAAAAGATGTAAAGCCAAGAGATGTAAAGCCAAAAAATGATTGTTAAAGTGCTCCCAGTGACAGTGGCTACCGTAAACCCTAAACGCCTAAACGCCTAAACCGAGAGAACCAGGAATCTGAGGTTGCATTGTAATTGAGGAACCTATATGAGGGAACTCGGTAGTATAGTGGCCTGAATAATTAGAATACTCTCTTGGGTTATATTCTACTATGATTATAATAAGGAGTCCCCCAAAATCGTATCCATAATTATTTAGGCTTCTATGATTAGTCTTCCGCAAACCTGGGCTCCAGGCACCCATAGACGACGCAGGCGATGCTTAGTGAGCACCCGATCACCTTTCCATGGGGTAGGGCTTGTGGCTTTGAGCTTTACGCGGCTTTATGAGCGTTTTTTTCGGTTTGGGATGAGTCTATACGAGTTGTGCGAGGTCTGAAAGGTTTTTTCAAAGGACCATGGGACCTAGTGTAATAGGGTTTCAATGAAGCGTTCCCCCCGACAGAAGGGCGAACTCTTACGGCCCCCACAGCTCGAATCCGTCAGCATCGGATGCCTCAGGCGACCTTCGAGGCTGACGCAGACAGTAAGGAAGGAATTTGTAGTGATAAAAACTGCACTGTTCTATGAAACAGTAGGGGCTTTTTAATGATGTAAACAACACAAGTACTATTGATGGCAGACATTCCGGCGACGTCCTATGGATTTCCTTAGTGCAGCAACGTCGCGGGGTCTTAGTGGTTCACCACCTTTGGCATGATCTGCCACCGTTTCGGGTTAGTTAGGGTTTAGGGTCTAGGTAGGACATGTAGAGCGTAGGATGATCTGTTTGGGCCTCTATTTAGAGCTGTTACACCAAATACACCGGCAAAGGGGACCCTTATCCTCCTCGTGCTGGATCCGTGTTGCCCCTAAACCCTAAACCCTAAACCCTAAACCCTAAACCCTGAACCCAGTGCTCTGGACAAGGGTGCATCTGAGCTCCGCTGCTGACATCATCTGTCGAAATGCCGCGCGGCCTGCCTGAAGAGGGTTTAGGGTTTAGGGTTTCAGCGCCAGCTCAATTCAGCAGACTAGCAGCCAACTGCATGCATAGACTGGAACAGAAGTAAGAGACAAAGAGACAGGAAGACAGAGAGAGAGGGTCGGAAGATGATCCCTCAACCCTAAACCCTAAACCCAACATAGGAGTGCCTCTCATTGCAAGGAGACCGCAGCACACGCAAGTTTGCTGCACCTGTGTGTCGCCAAAGTTCGGAGCTCCTGCTTGAGGCGCCACCTGGCAGCAGGGTGTGCCGTGTAGGGTTTAGGGTTCAGGGTTTTAGGGTTTAGGGCTCAGGGTTTCGGGCTTAGTAAGCGCAGCTTTCAATGCTTTCAAGACATGTGTGATTCCGCGCTAGGGTCGGCATCTACTCGCAACATAGCACATATAGCTTCCTCAGGCGTAGTAAAGTATAGTATTGGAAGATACAGATCCTCACCGTGCAAAGACTATGTCTCACAATACCCAAGCCTCAACCCAAAACACACGAGAAAGGCACAAAGCCTGCGAAACCCTAGCCCTAAACCGTAAAGCCTTAACCCGAAACCTGTACCTCAAACCCTAAACCGTAAAACCCTACGTCCTAAGCTCTTAACCCTTAACCCTAAATCCCAAAGACCGGCCACCTCCCGGTAGAGAAGCGGAATGTTGGTATGGGCTCCAAAGGCACCTCTGGCGTCTGAAGCAATAACTGAAGGTATTCTACCTCCTTTAAGGACTGCTTTAAGGGGCTCCTCTAAGGGCTTTAAGGGCTCTCGAGTTTAGGATTCAATGTGAGAGATTGGGTCGCTGTGTTGCTGTGCAAAACGTACTTCTAATCATTAAGCCTTAAGCGCCATCTAGTAGCATGTAGCGGTGCGTCTGAAGGACTCGAAAGCCATGCTCAAACCCTCAAGTATCCTCCAACGTACCACAACCCAAGATAATCGAAACTCGGGGCTTTGGGTAGGTTTCGAGTATATGGCAAATTAATCTAAAGCTACAACTTCTAGAGTAGTAGTAGTAGTAGTAGTAGTAGTAGTAGTAGTAGCAGTAGTACTAGTAGTAGTAATCGTCGTAGTAGTAGTAGTAGTAGTAGCAGCCGTCGTCGGTCCCCAACTCCGCATTCTGAACCCTGAACCCTGAACCCGAAGCCCTTAGCCTTATCCCAAACTCCGAGCCCTGAGTCACCAAACCCTAAACTCTAAACCCTAAACCCTGAACCCAAAAACCTGCACCCGGACCATGGCACCCACTAAGATAGGAAAGCAATCACCGAAGGTGTCCAATCTCAGCATGTCGAGGTTGATGGCACCTGGCGAAGATCTCGACCGGCTTTCGGCCGAAAAATGTCACAGTATACATATGGCTAAGGAACCCTGAGGCCGCAACAACCCTAAACCCCAAAAACCTGAACCCTAAACCCCAAACCCCAAACCCCAAACCCTAAACCCTCAACCCCAAACCCTAAACCCCAAACCCTAAACCCTAAACCCTCAACCCGACGAGGGCCAGCAGGCTGCTGGCTTTCAGGTCCCAAACTTGAGATTTAGGGTTTAGGGTTTAGGGTTTGGGGTTGAGGGTTTAGGATTTGGGGCTGGGTCACCTAAGTAGCTTCTATGACTTAATGACAGCAAAAAATCATAACAGGAATGGGCACCATCATCACTGTCGAAATAGCCATAATGGAACCAAAATAGAACAATCGAGTACAACAACAGCAAGCATCAGGTGGCTGTTCTCTCCTACGGTTCCTCCATGGCTCTACGGCTAGCGGCAGCGGCACTAGTAGCAGCAGTGGCAGTAGCAGCGCACAGCAGTGAGCAGCAGTTAGTAGTAGTAGCAGCAGCAGCAGTAGTAGTGGCAGTAGCAGTCGCAGTAGCAGTAGTAGTAGTAGTGGCAGTAGTAGTCGCAGTAGCAGCGGCAGCCGAGGTAGCGGGTAGCAGTAGTGGTAGTGGGTGGTAGTGCAGTGGTAGTGGTAACTATAGCAGCAGCTTACTAGGACTGTAATACTACCAGCAGCAGCACATCACGCCTGCAGCTATGGCCATCCGAAACCTAAGCTTCAAGCAAGCCCAGATAGATCCAAATAAATTCTCAACTGCAGACACAAACAAACACATA